AAGAAAGGGTCTAGGAAGTAGGGAGGCATGTCTGCCGCAGGAGCCCTGAAATAGAAAGGGAAGTCTACAGCTCATAGGCCTAGGGCAGCGAAATATCTCAGAGTGTCCAAGTGGGTAGATCTCCCAGGATGACTACCTGTAGGGGCCTTAGTAGTTGGAATAGGGTTTTTTGGGGTTATTATGGCATAATTATAAAGGGAACGTAAGGGAAGGCTATGAGTAAGTATTCGGACCCCTCTAGTAATTCTTTCTTCTCCTGGTGGTTCCATTGAATTTCGACCAACGTGGCCAACATTGTCGGAGTATATTAGGTTATAATTCTGATCGTCAAACGTAAATCCTTATGCAATATTAAGGCCTGAAGCGCGAGATAAGATGGCACTCTATTGCAGTTATGTTGGAATGAACCTCAAAAAGAAACCGAAAGAGATATATCGCCAAACCCTGAGCCCTCCTCTTCGAAAAGAGCCCCTTGTTCTTGAGCCAAGTTACACCCTGGAGCTTGGGATGTTTCCCCTTATGCAACAGTCCTTGCTAGGGATTAAACGGGGGGAGGGGGGGAGGGGTCCTATAATCCCTGTTCAGGACTGCTGTTCGTATAACGGGGAACATCACAACCTGGGGCCCTAAACCTCACCCTCAGGGCGGGTGGCACACAGACATCCATCAAGGGCCTTGGACACTTGAAGCCTCCAGGGTCTAGGGCTGACAGGGTTTAGGGCTTCTTACCGGAGAATTTTATATTTAAAGATAATAAAAACTATAATCCAACATTAGTTGATTTTGGATGTGGTATAATATTGGATTACAAAAAACTACGTTCTGCATAGCTTGTCCTTCCTTTGTGTACTTCAGGGTTATTCAATTCGTAAAATAAAAATATTACAATGTTTTTTGGAAACAATAATAAATCAGATAAAGAAATTTGTAAACGAATTTCAAATCATTTTACACAAAAGAATATACCTTTCCAGATTGTTGTTTATATAATTATTTGGCCTGCAAGAAATCCAATAACATATAATATATTTTTTGGAATAATCCATATTATGGATTATCAAACAAAGCAAGAACTAATTATAGTCGTGGAGTAGCAGGATATTGTGTATCAACATGTGTATTAGGTATTGGTGATAGACATCCAGATACTAAATGTCGCAAGAGAAAAGTAATAAGGACGATGAACTTCTATTACACCGCTTCACAGATGAATTTAATAAGCTGTTTTGTTCTTGATTAGATTCTTTTTGTTTTTTCTTTTTCATTGCTGGAATGTCTTTGTTAGTTAGGGTTTTGGGCTTATTGGGCTTCAAGGGCTTCCAGGGCTTGGGGTTTGGGGGGCTTCTTGGGAGAACTTGGAACTGGGGAGCCGCCGAATCAGCCCCGCCCACCCCCTCTTGCAGTCGAACGGAGCGTGGCAAGCCGTGACTGGGCCAAGGGTTGAACACCGTGTAGGGGTTAAGGGTTGAGGGTTTCGGGGTTTCAGGGTTTAAGGGTCGGAGGGTTTGAGGGTTTAAGAGTTTAAGGGTTTCAGGGCTAAGGGTGTAAGTGTATGGGGTTTAGTGCTGGGCTCACCCCCCCCCCTCCCTGCATGCCTAAGAGGCCTGGATGCAAAAGGTTTTGGGCTCAAGGGGGTTAAGTTGTCCTTTCGTATCACTCATATACATATATATATATATATATATATTATATACATATATATATATATGTATATATTGCCGGAGCTACAAGGACTCGTTTAGCAACCGGGGGAAACTGGGACCCATCTAGAAGCCTATTTTTTGAAACCTGGACACGGGCCTTAGACTACGCCTCAACTGCAAGGCTAGTTGAGGGCTTCGCAAAGGATTGAGGCAAAGACGGGAAGCCCTTTCCCACGGTGCTCTAGTTTCGACGCGAGCTTAGCTCGCTGAAGACGTATACTCAGCAGGCTCGGGACCCACTGCACCCACTGCTTTTGGTTTTTCCAGGGCGCGCGGAGATCCTGGAGCTTCGTGCGCCCAAAGCCAAGCCGAAAACCTCTTGAATAAGCCGACTTGCCAAAGTCCATGCAAGGCCCAATTTAGAAAAGTATATGAGTAGGGAAGGGGGAGAGCCTGAAGTGGTTTTAGATGATTTGCGGCTTACCGGGGACCCCGGTTTTCGGAGGCAGAGGCTCGAATTGGAGCAGTGGTCCTGAAACTAGAGGGGCATGCACAGCCCCCATCGGCTGAGCTGCTTTTGCAAGTGGAGTCCTTGGCAACGCCGGGACGCCGTACTCGAGGAGCCCTTTCTTAGAGGTGCTACCATAGGCCCGGTGTGAAAGAGAAGAGCTTCTGGGGCTTGAGGTTTAGAGTGGTGGGCTTAGGGCACCAAAAGCTCAGTGTCAGAAGCCTCTAACCCCAGGCGAGGCTCCAGGTCTACGGGTCATGCTCGTACCTACCGAGCTTGGAGTGTGGGTTCTTTCTGCCCAAGAAGTCAACGAACAAGAGGATGGCGTTTGATGCTCTCGGAGCTCACTCAAACAGCGCATGCCCTTCAGCCCCGGAAGTGTTTCGAGGGGGCACTTAAAGATCAGCGATCCTATATATGTATTTTCGTCATACAGGCACAGCGTATTTGAATCTATCTTCTCATGCATTTAGTTTTTCGCAGTTCTCCATGTTCGTAAAAGTATTGACCTCAAGTCGGGGCCATTGTCGGTGTTATTGTGCGGCTCGGCGTTGTTGAGGATTTTCTTCCCGCTTTATCAGAGACTTTCACCGGTGTCAACCGGCTTTATCGCCTGCTCAGACATTGCGGAGAGTTTGCGTGCCAGGTCAGCAGGTTCTTCACTCGAGGTAGAACACTTGATGCGTGCAATCAGAAGGAGTAGCACGATCCAGTGTTGCCAGGCTTCACTTCAGGTTGTGTTGCCGCGTCGCATTGATGGCCTTGACTGCGCAGCAGCTGGTTGCCTTGTATACAAGCGTTCTGGGCAAGTCCGTCTAGAAGAGGGTCATGTGAAAAGAGTGGCAGGTCTTATGACGCGCCGCTGATTGAGCGAGGACCCGCTACGCTGCTTGTCGGTTGCTGCCAGAATAAGTTGGCATCTTTCGGACAATTGTTGCGCTCGCCAGCCATATGCCCGACGAAGTGACAAACGGAGAGCGTTCGAGTCCAAACGAGAGCTTGACGGGGAAGCAGGTTCAACAGCGCGGAAACCTCATCCCCAACGGAAGCACTGCGTCAAGCCATGAAGCTTCAAAGACCCCGGGCCGGGGACCCCGAGCTCAGCAGCCCCACAACCCTACGTATCCAACTTTGATCAACATGAACCAACCCCCGAGTCCCCAAAAACCTCCCCTTTGTTCACAACTCAGAGCCTTAAACTTTAAACCCTAAACCCCTCTACTGCCAGCCCTGAACCTGTAACCGGCAATCCCCCCTTACGCCGCGTGCCCCAAAGTCCCCAAGATAGAAACCCTAAAAGCCCAACCCCGTGGTCCTGCCGCTCCAAACACTGTAGCGGGCTTTAAGGGTGTGCCCCTCGATCCTAAAGCAGAGAGGAGGACGGCGCAGCGTCCTTATAGTCGGAGGACAGTGGCCTGACTTCCAACAATATGGAATTGGGGGTGGTGCCTACAATCCGTGGTTGACAGTTGGGCCTGTATGGGGCTCGGAGGCCATTGACTGACTATGTCCACTTGCTTGGCCTGGGGATAGTTTGGATTTGTCAAACTTCAAGAGCCAAGTGGGGTATGCTTTCTGTTGGCATGCTCATGTGAGGGTGCAACTCCATTGCGCCCAGTGCGCTGCACCCTGCGCCCTACCGACTGCACCCTGCACGACTGCACCCTACACGACTGCACCCTGCACGATTGCACCCTGCACGACTGCACCCTGCACGACTGCACCCTGCACGACTGCACCCTGCACGACTGCACCCTGCACGACTGCACCCTGCATGACGGCACCACTGCACTGCACCCCAAGTCTTTGTGCAAAACCATGCGACGAAGCATGGCTCTTGAAGTTTGATAGGTTTGGATGCGGAACGCAATTCTTAGAGATCCTTCTTAGATCAGAACCCCTACAGCTACGCCGATGGTCTGGAAGGTCTTGGCTTGTTTCCAACGCCTGCAAACCAATGCTTACAGACCGTACTAAAGATACTGCAACGTGTACTCGAAACCTTGAAGGAATCCACGAGCCTTAGTCCGTACAGTAACGCCTGCTAGGTGGGAGAGTGAGCGTTGAACCCCCTAACCGGAGCAATCCCTACCATAAGAAGCTTGTTGAGTGCCCTCAAGGCTTGTTGGGGAATTTAGTTCCTACATGCTCAAAAGCCAAACCTCGTACAAACGACACGTGCTCCGAAATTCCCAAACCATTGAAATCCTAAACCTTGAGCTCCAGACCATCTAGCGATTGAGGTTTGCCGGCACGTTTTGTGCTCGCGAGCTGAGGTCGGCCTTCTTGCACGGGGGATGTTAAGTGTGGGTCTGACCCCGCCTGTCTGCATGTGTATATGTATTTACGAATGTATGTATGCTTGTATAGACATCTCATATGATTATATATATATATACATCATGGGAGGCATCCCACAAGTAGAGCTGACAACGTAGTGGTCAGGATCAGGGCAGGTGGGTTTTGAGGCCGCCAGGCTGCCCTGAAGCATGAAGTGCTGCATGTTTGCTCGACTTGCTGAGCCAAGGGGTTGAAACTTTACTGGGAGCTTGTTGGCTTTCTTTTGAAAACTCGAAGATATGGTATGGCGGTGCACGAATGCTATGTGTTGAGTCTTTTGATTGCGGGAGGAGTCAGGTCAAATGTGGGGACCCTCAGCTCCTTGAGTGGCCCAGTTTGTGGGGGTGGACCAGCAGTAGGACTCCTAAACCTGAGAGGGCATAGGGCGTGCCGTGCTCTCTCCCTTGCATCTTGTATATGCGAAAAACACGCTTTGAAAGTCCGAGAAGCAGAATTTGCCATTGCACGCAAAAAACACTTGAAAAGTCCTTTTTTGGGGTTGCCGAGTAATGACTGACAGCCCAGTCCGAAGATGTTCGCACGATTGTCTTGAATCGCGTGCCTTGGGCGACAAGAGCAAGTATGTTTGCTGCGCACAGCACGCCGCGGCTCGGTGGCTCCTGATGCTCTACCAAATTCAAAGTCCAAAGAACACCAGAGGTACACATGCACATATCTATACATAGATCAGGTACACATCCCAGAGACACGTGCGTGCATCTACATACGTATAGGCTGTAGGGGCGCCCAGTCTCCACAAAGCAGGCGCGACTTCGACGTGACCCTTGTGGACGCGAAGGACGGGAGTCCCTGGTTCTTGTCTTTTAGTATCTAGGGTGATATAGGATGATGCAGGGGCACATATAGGATTATGTAGTAGTAGGTGTGTAAGGGCGCCGTGTGTCGAAGACCTGACACAAGGACTTTTTCGAGTTCACCCCTGGCATCCTACGCGCCTTTGTGCGTCTCAGCTGCGCAGTTTCACTTGGCTCGTCTTTGCTAGAGAAACGTAGGAACACCTGCACGCTTGGGTTTTGTGTATGTAATGGTATAATCAGAAGTCATTTTGTTGTGGGCAGTGTCCTGTGCAACAGACATAGGTTTTGAGGTTGTGGAAGAGCGCTGGGCGTATGATCTGAGACTATAGGCCCCTGCACTCGCAAACCGCGCAAGAGCTCCTCCTACAACGTATTGTGTCCGGCGTCAGAGTTACGGGTTCCAGCCACCCTAAACCCTAAACCCTAAACTCTAAGCCCTTCTCCGGGTCCAAAATCCTCTCCTTGGTGGAAGGCAGCCCAGCCACTTCGAAGCGCTCTCCTTTCACCTGGCGCCGGTGCTCTCGAAGATTGGCGTCCGGTTTGTCACAGGCCTGAACAGGGGTACACAGGTTTGAACATAATTGTGTTTTAGTCTTGTTGCTCTTAATCCCCTACATAATCCTTAGAATGCCATAGCAATTTATGTAGGGTTCCCAGACCTAGGCCGGTTCAGGGTTCAGGAGTGGCTCGGCTCAGACCACACAAAACCTTTGAATTTGCTGGCTGCCTTTTTCTATGAAACAAACCCTAAACCCTAAACGCTAAACCCTCCTGCACCAGAAAGAGACACACCTGAATCCGCCCGAGAAGGGGAACTCCCGCTCAAGCGGCGCGCCAGTCCCCGCCAGGCGCTAGATTCGGGAATGTACAAATGCTAGGACAAGATATTGGGGTGAAAGGAAAATAGACCCCCTAAAATAGACCCCCTACATAGTAGGATCCCCTGAAAATAAGGACCCCAAATAAGGTACCCCCCGCCCCCCAATATCGTAATCCACCATGTGGTAATCTGCAACACTAGGGTAGGACCTTTGGGTTTTTGGTACTTTCCTTCATTGGGTTTTGCTGCTTTTTTCAAACATCTCTCCCCAACGCTGTGTTCCCATTTTAGTTCTGGAAGGTACTGGACAACATGAAATCTGACGGGGTATTGTGGTTTTGACATCATGAGGATTTTTGTTGCGGAGTGGCTGGAGGGGCCAGCCTCGCGGGGGTCTCCGAAACTAGGGGAACCTTATTGGGGTCCTTAGGAATCCTACCATTTGGTGTATTATAGGGTCCCCCTTTTGGCGTAAACCCTGAGGTGAATTGAGTTTCTCGGCAAGTAGGGAAATGGGTAGGATGTAGAATCTCTTGAAAGGGAATAAAGGGTTGTAGCGGTATTAAAACCTCGCAAGTAGCGGGCCATGGCCTTCGTTTAGGGCCGGAGTGGAGCCGAATCACCCAACATTCGAGTGCCCATGCGACGGGAGGTGAAGTGAAGAAACTGGACTACGCCTCTTGGGTGGAGAAATTTGCCCCCCCGAGGATTCAGCCCACCCTACATACATGGAAAAAACTCACATTATAGTTGAATAGTATATGGAGAGTATTGGGGATAAGGGCGAGGTTCGACATTAGGGGGAAGGGGTTATAGGGCTGAGGGTTGGGTTCAAAAAACCCTTCATATCGAAGTTGACAAGCCTCAGGACGACAAGAGTCTGAAAGCAAAAAATCACCAATATCATGCGGTCACTTCCCTGCTTGAAAAGCCAGGACGAGGCTCAAATGTGCAAGCCGGTCGCGCGACGTATTTTGAGTGCTTCAGGGTGTCAAGGGCTCAATGGACTTAAGAGCATAAAGCCTTTAACCCTAAGCAATTAACAATTGTGCTAGTGTCAGAGTCGAAACAACAACAACAACTACTACTACTAATAATAATAAGAATAATAATAATAATAGTAGTTATATCATACAGTGTATAATGCAATAATTATAAGAGAGTAAGAATAATTGTAATGATAATATAGTAAGAATAATAGAGTAAGAATGGCCCTAAACCCGAAAAAGCTCAGCGCTGCCCGAGGATGGCCAACAAGTGCTGGCAGAGGTGAAGGCTCTGGAGGGCGGCGAGGCGTTGCACCTGACACCCGGCTCGGGCCTTCAAGTCGGCCGTTTAGGGTTTAGGGTTTATAAGGTTTAGGGTTTAGGGTTTATAAGGTTTCGGGTTTAGGGTTTAGGGTTTAGGGAATTAAATGAGGGAACATGACCGCTACCCCCTCCTCCCCCCCGCCTTACCCTCGAAGGGGGTCATGCAACCCCTGAAACCCCGGTTTGGCCATTGCAGCCAGCGAGAGAGCGAAAGACAAAAGGCCCCTTGAGCCCTTGAGTTCCCCACGGCGGGCCAGGGTTTGCGGGTTTTAGGGTGAGGCCTGGGCGTTTGTAGTGGTAAGGGTTCAGGGTCTACGGTTTGGGAATGTTGAGGATCACCAGGTTCACAGTGGCGAGGGCCTCTTGAGGCGGAGCCCCGCGCAGCCGAGGACATTTGACTACTGCATCGTTTGTGCTGGTTGCACCTTGGGCTTAACCAGAAATTTCTGCCTCACTTGAAGGCCCTAAACCCTGTCCCCCTCAAAGTCCTACACCCTAAACCAGGACTTTCAAACCTTTGCCAGCCGAGTGCGAGAGTGAGCATCGACACCCTGGTTCGAGGGCTTCAGGGTTTGGTGCATGTGAGTTGAGGCTTCTGGGGTCTCGGAACTGCGCGGACACAACCCCGAAAGCCTTAAAACCCTCAACCCGAGCCTAAACCCCACAACGAAGCCCCGGAGCCCGAAGCCCAAAAAAAGAACCCAAAGCCGCCTTGAGCACCCTCCTACGATTTTTGCGTTTCAGGGTTTAGGGGTTTAGGGGGCCATCTTGTGACCACAGCCTCGATCCCATCCCCCAAAGGCACGGCATAGTGCCGGTACCAAGGAGGGATTATACAAAGGGAAGCAAAAAGTACATAAACATGCATGTGATTGTGTCTGTCCAACGCGCAAGCGTCGACAGCAGTTTCTGGTGGATTCCAAAGGAGCCCCTCTCATACTTGCCACTGTTTAGGGTTTAGGGTTTAGGGTTTAGGCTCCAGGCGAGGTACGAAGCCTGTTGCAAAAGGGTTTAGGGTCTGGGTTTAAGAGGGTTCGGGGTGTATAATTTAGGGAGGTTTAGGGACTTGAGAGTGCCCTGGCCGCAAAAGGGTTTAGGGTTTAGGGTTCTGACGTCAAGAGTCTGGTTTGGAAAGCGGGTTTTTTTGATAATGTTCTGCGCTGTCGAGCACCTCAGACCTTCATGCTAAAGGAGCCAACCACCTGAAAAAGGAAACTTGACCCCCAAACTCCGATACAGCATTGATTCAATAGCTAACAGCTGACATCTGAAACCGCGTCGACAGTGTTTCCCCACACCTGAGGCTGCTTTGGCCCCTTCAACAAGCCGCTCGGCTGGACAGCGTGACTCCCCTCCAGCCACCACCCCATGACATTTTTGGGGCTGAAGTACCTTTTAGGAGCGTGAGGTGGAGGCGCGTGTTTAAGGGTGTTGAGGAAGCCCACCCCCGAACCTCCGTTGGGGGGGGGGGAAGGGAGGGGAGGGAGGCTTGAAAAGGTAACGCCACTTCGAAGCTGGTTGGTGCTTGAGTGGATCTGATGTCGTTCAAGCACACTCTTAAAGGCAACACATGGACAAGTGTCCATTTCATGGGGACACCTACGCCTGGAACCCCGAAAAGAAACCTGCGGCCTGCGCCACCAAAGCATACCGAAGCCCTAGAACTTGCTTCCCGGCCTTCCGACATGTCCTTGCCACCAGGTGGGGGGAATCTTTGTGGTTCCCAACCATCCACGAAGATGCCCGCGAGGCGCGCCGCGTCGAGCTTGTTTTTTGGAGGTGTGTGCTTGCTGCTGGCAGAGACTCGCAAAGGAGAAAAGCAAATTCCACGCTTCAGTTTTCTAAATTTCGGTCTGTACACTAGAACTGAAAGCAACGAAGAGAAAAACAAAGAACCTTCCGTCCTTGGAAGGAGAGTGAGTGGCCAGAGCTGGACGAACGATTTCTGGAAGGCAGGGGCTCTTCTAAAGCACCCCAGCAGGGGCATTGAACTGCGGGCACGTCGTTCATGTTAATGGCTTTGGATGAAGGGCCCACGCCACTCCAAGCCCTTCCAGCTCCCAACAACCCGAAAACCCGATATCCGATAACCCCCCAGCTAGCTTGACATCCACAACAGAAACGACCCGTCACAATAGCACGATGCACAAGCTGGCTGAAGCAGGTCGCAGGCGCCACATACTTCAGGACGGGGGCTCATCGATTTTGGGGATGGCGAGGTGTTGTGTGCAAGTGGAGGCTGAGACTGGCCGCCGACCGCCTAATTGTGCCGCAAAACCTTACAGTTACTTCAGCCTTGGAAAGGCCCTGAACTCGGAAGCTCCAGAAACCCCTGAGCTGCGTATCTTCCAGAAGCACAGTATCTCAAGTAAGCTTAAGCACTGAAAGCCCTGCAAACCTCAGAAGCCTTCCCAGGGCTTCGCACCCCATTGAAGAATCCGCATCCCAAATGGTGGCCAGGAGCACACCAGCCTCACCGAGCTGAACTCCAGGCGTGTCGAAACCCACACACGCAAATCCGAAGCCATGAGAGGCAGTTCTCTACATCCTGTCCCGGCTAAGTGTACGACTTTGTATTGTATGATATGATATGTCCCCAAAATGCACGTGAAAGAAGCTTACTGGAAGCGCTAAACCCTAAACCGTCACACCACGACAGCACATCACGCGGAGCTGAGGGTTAAAGGTGTTATTGCGTTTGACCTCTGTTTTGCTAAGTCTCGAAGCCGAGAACGTTCCTAGATCCTGCGAAGGAATGCCTGAGTCCTTGTCAGTCCGACCCGTGTTTTTTGCGGACTTCAGTTGTCGGCGGCACCAATAGGCGGCATCATCGTGGCATGCCGTGAAATTTTCACCTGTATGCTGTTCTCAGCAATTCTGCATGGCCCTTGAACCGAATGTTTTGGGCCATTCAGCCAAGTAGTTGCTGACACTGTTTGCTGGTCGTGTTGCTTTTGGGGGAAGGGATAGGAGTGGGGGAGGGGGGGGGGGGTGGGTCCTTTTGTATGCGCACAGATGAGTCTGACGTTTCTGGAAGCGGCGCGGTCGCAAGGTCCCTTCCAAGACTAGCAGCGTTTTCGTGTTGTTTCCACATCGCGTCCCAAATATTTTGTTTGCGTTGTTCAGGCAAGGCGTGCTCGCTCTACTGCAACAGTCTTGTGAGTCCAGGTGTGTCGAACAAACATAAACAGGCATAGTCAGTCATGATTCAGTTTCTTGTAGAAAGTTTTCAATACAGGAGACCCCACACCCGGTACTTTTAGTGCCATTTTCAACGTTGATCCTAATATCTGTATATGATATAATATCATATATTACAACGTTTTTTTTTATATAATATGTACCTTGTGTTACAGCACCCTTTGGATCCAGGTTCCTTAGGCCCTGAACCCGACACCGAAGGCGCGCATCGATCTTAGTCGTGGGCGCTGGCTTCATCGGTGTGGAGTGGGTGACAGAGCTGCAGTGACGTGGCGAGATGAGGGAGAAGGGACCCCTTTTTTATAAGGGGTTTTCGGAAAGTTGGTTTAATTACTAGAGCCAGCAAGGGCTATAGAAGATCGTCCACAAGGGGCTCTGGAGTTTAACCCTACTTTGCCTCCCAGGGCTGGATGCAACTGGGTTCGAGACATGTGCGGAAGCCGAACCTTAAAGGCTCTGAACAGAAGGTTGTTGAGCTTCTCCCGGGAATTAGGAGCCGTCTTCTTCCCAGTCAAATCCAAGACATGTAAGCAATGCTTGAAAATGTGGACCCGTTTCAGGCAGCCTACATCAAAGTCCAAGGCTCGTAGTATAGCGTGGGCACAGAAAGTGCCCCGGTAGTTGGGGCTTCCGGGCTTCATGTCTGACCTTCAGTACAGGTCGCATCAGTCGTGATTGGAGGTTGGATTGGGTATTCGCACTCTTTGACTGAGCTGCTTAGCCCCTTTGCCTGCACCCTAAAATGATTTTCGGCCAAAATGTCAAGCCCCAGACGGGAAACCCTGTAATTAGGCCCTACACTTAGTACCTCGATAGTAAATATATAGTTATGGTGGTCATGCACGTCACCAGACCACTAATCTCGCAACCCTGGGCAGTAAACCCCCCCTCCTGCCCCCTGGGTTGGATGTTCCCCCTTCTACTAACAGGGTACTATGATCCCTATGATGTGCCTATGAAGGACTCTTAGTATAAGGGGGAACATCCCAGCAGAAGCAGTACCCTAAAACGTCCCTAAACCCTAAACCGGCCCATAGGTATTACTTTCCCAATCTGGACATCAGCATTGTGGACGTCTTGCCAAATTGCCTGGGTCCGCTTCCCCAGTCTGCCGCGGCGTACTGCTCTCGCTACATGAGCCACGGCGGTTTAGAGCTTACAGGGCTTAGTAGAGTTTCAGGGAGCAGGAGCTCAGCAAACCCTGTGATGATAAGACGGCCGAGTCTCGCTTAGACCTACAGAAGGCATGGGTAGAGTTTCGGAGAGCTTGGGGTTGGGTAAGGACGGCTATTCCAACACTTTTGGCCAGACTCGTATGGCGATTGTCTCCACCCTCGCCTGAAGACCAAAAACATTTTATCAAAAATGGTCAGAGAACTCAGAGGCTCTGAAATGCATTCAAGTCTTCATGTCAGGCACCTTTCTCTTTGTGTGGATTGGCTTCGAAAACCACAAAGACATTGTGATCTTTTAATCGTTTGAAGAAGTCAGAGCTGAAAGGCATCAAATTATTCATGTCAGCGATCTTTCTTTCTGTGGAGTGGGGATGAGAGGAGTTTCCCATGTCCCATGGGAGTATGCCTAGTCTAGGTGTACCGGAGGTGCGCTGTAGAGTTGCAGTTTGCTATAGTGATGGAAGCAGGGACAGAAGGCTGCATATTCGTGATTCGGATCTCCAGAGGCGGCCTTGGAAGTAGATCCACGGCATTCTCTGTATCCGAAAAAAGTGGACCTGTTAATGCTGTCAGGGCCTGCAAGCCCAGAGTAGAGCTTCTGTCTAGCTCCAGCTTCTTGAAGATCTGACGACATCAAGCACCCGTCCATTTGCAGCCCAAGAAGACCCGAAAGCGGCACAGCAAAGGAATTCCGTGGGCATCAAGCGGCCTGTCAGCAGGGAGGTACATTGCGGTAGCTGCCCCCTATGTTAGCTGGCAGCTCTTCAACAAAACCCCTTTTTTTCCTGAACAAAGGTTCTGACAAGTAGGTTGCCTTTGGGACCCACTCGGCGGTGCCTATGCAACGATCTCAGGCCGTAGCTTGTTGAGAGCCCACTTCCTTTGCATGGAACAACGAGCGCCATTAGATGAGTTCTTTGGGCACAACGGAGAGACCCTCCTGTCCGTGACTTCTTAGAATCTCAACCAAGCGATTCTGACTCCGATGACGGTTGTTGCGCAGAGCTTGCTAGAGCCTCACGCCTTGACTCAGAAGCAGTTTATGGTTTAGGGTTGGGATGTTCCCCCTTTTTCTGACAGTCCCTAATGGGGATTACAGTAGCCCCAACTAGAATCCCTATTGCGCACTGTTAGTATAAGGGGGAACATCCCAAGTTTAGCGTTTAGTGAACCACGAACCTGCCTTTGTCATGGTTCGACGATTGTTTTGGCCAGCACCAGTTCGCGTCGTCCCTTGAGGCAGTACTACCGCACGAAGTACGACCCAGCCACCTGAACTCAAGCAGAACCTCATTGAGAGCTGTGGCATTTACGGGCGATTTTGGAAGCTGAGGGTTTATTGCCCCTTTGCAGGGTGGGGATGGTGTGGAATGGCAGGTCTCGGGAATAGTTGTGCAGACAATTGGCGAGAAGAGTTTGGGAACGTTTGTTGTCCCATGATATTCCTGCAGCCCTTATCTTCGCAAGCAGGTCGAACTTTAGACCCCAGTCAGGCGTTTTGACCTCTCAGGGTTGTTTAGGCTCTTGTTTCCTAAGTGCTATAAGGAGCACACTGCAATCGAGAACCCAAGCAGGCCTGTTGTTGAGGGCAACCCCCCCCCCCCCCCCCTAGTGCTTAGGACGGGGGGCTTAACACAAGGGCATCCCCAAACCCAAAAGGCCCCAAACCCGAAGGGAACAAACAACCTAAAACCTATGACCCCTCAACCCTCAAGAACCCTCCCTGAAGGGCAGCCTGGACTTTTGGGGCACCATCGGCTTGCCACAGAAGGCCGACCGAACCTTCGCACCTGGGACGGTTGTTTCTTTTGTTTTTTTAATTCAGGGCTTGGGGCTTGGGTCGAAGAGGGGTTCGGATTCAGCAAGCAGGGTCCCGGTTTTCGGAATTAGCATTTGGGTTTGAGTCGCAGGTTTCTGGCATGTGTCGTCAGTGCACGCCCTGCATCAAGCCTGAGCTCTCAGTCCACCTGCAAAAACGCGTTCGTATTTCCGGGCCACCATATCCTATAGTGGTAAAGCACACACATATAAGCCCTTAAACGTAAACCTTGGGATGTTCCACCTTCTTCTACTAAAAGTCCGATTATAGTACCCCCCCTATTGTAATCCCTCTTAAGGAGTCGGACTGTTAGTATCAGGGGGAACATCCCAACTTAGAACCCTGAACCCCAAACGCTCTCCGGTCTGAGGTGTGTATTGGCGTCAAGCCGGCCAACTACTTCATGCCCCCGGACACCCTTAGCAGCTTGCCTCATCGATGTGTTGTGATGAATGCCCCCTCAAACTTTAGCATCTCAAAGCCCTTGTTGGACTGTCCTGCTTGTACTTCCGAGGGCGGCGCGCAAAGCAGCCCCTGTTCCCCTGCAAGCCCTGGCGCCTAGAAGCCCCTAAACCCTAGACAGTCCACTTGCGACTGTCCATCGCCTGCTTTCTGTTCCAGTGAGCATTCTAGAGCAGTTGGGATCCTTGAGATCGCACCCTAGAGCCGATGTCTCTATCAATCCTATGCTCGTTTTCAGGATCATAGTTGCCTCCGAAACCCCTCAAAAAGCGTTCAAGTTCAAAGAGCGAGCGGTTGAGAAGCTCAGGCGTTACGGGACCAGGTCCCTCGGATGAACCGCGAAGTCTTTTTTTGTTTTTGTTTTTTTGCTTCTGTTGGGTTTTGTCTCAAGTTGTGCAATGTTGCATGGACTATAAACCCGAAATCGGAACCGCCGAAACCTGGGTTTCTGAAAAGCAACTGTCCTGGAGGAGGTGGTGGCTGGATCCTTTTCAACCAGAAGTTGCAGGCAAGACCGGGGCAACAGTGAGTGGCGGGCCGCTCTGTTGACGAAGGTCCCTTTGTAACTGCAGGGTACCCTGAAAGCAGGGCTCCGCATTGTGAGAGGAACCTCAAAAACAGGGACCATATACTTGAGAGGCCGATCACAAGCATGCGATGGCTGACGGGCAGATACGTAGTCCTCACCCAAGCCCTGCTTATGCAGCGCCAGGTGGGCCTGCATCCATGGCATGAACTGAAGACCCGAACCCCAGAGTCGGCTCAAGAATTTCGGCCAGCTCTTCGCCCCAAGTGTCCTGGACATCGCGACGTCTTGCCATGGCTCTCGGAGGAGTCAGTGCAGCTTTCCCGTCGTGCGAGGCGGACGGCCAGTTCAGCAACCTGTTGCAAAGCAGCTTCTGCCTGCATCTCAAGCAAGGGTGGCTCGCGGCTCTCGCTGCTGGTGAAGAATCCCTGCCAATGAAAGTTGCTGCCTTTGAGCATCCGACCCCCCCTCCTGGCCTTGAGCCACCGCTCGTTCGATCAACAGACAACGCAGACATGCCTGTTTGGCTGCAAGGTGTGTGGGAGGGCACCTTTGCTTGTGAAGCTCAGTTGGATCCTGTCCAGACCATCCAGCTGGAACAGGACGCTCCAAAGAACGATGGTGCCTCCAGGCCCTTGTGTCGGGCAAGCTGCACAGGCCCATGCACGGAAAGATCGCAGAGGCAGAGCAACCTGCAAGTTCGTCTTCGAGGGTTACCGGGACGAGCACAAGAACTTTGACCTGGTCCCCCGCGTCATCGGCCGCGGCGGCTGCAACATGCGCGCCATCGCCACCGAGAACTGCAAGCTCCGCATCCGTGGAAGGGCCAGCGCCCACCTTGAAAAGACTCGGAATGGCGCGGCCCGGGAGGCAGATCTTCCCCTGCACATTGCCCTCAGCTGCAGCGATGAGGCCGAGCTGGAGGTTGCCAAGGAGAAGCTTGACACCCTCTTGCAAGGCATCTCCGTGCATTTCTACAGGTTCTGCCGCAAGATGGGCCATGCTGAGCCGGCACAGCTGTATAGATTGGTTTAGTCTTTATGTGTTTCAAAAGCCTGACATAGGACAGCAGATCAACCTGCGATCGTGATGTTTTTGTAGCAGCAATACTTGAGCAAGCTGCCCGTTGCGAATTGATCTGTGAGGCTTGCTTCAAGCTTTGAGCGCTGTGAGTGGGCAGGCTGCGCTTGTGCAGAGAATTCCCAGCCTGTCTGCGACGTGCGCGTGTTCCCGCTGCAAAAGGCGAATTGTTTTGTCAAATCGTCAAAGCTCGGATGCTGCAGGTCTCCTTTAGTGCCTACTTGGGCATACCTCTCAATCCCGTTCCCATCAATTTAGCATCTCAAGCACAAAGCTCCGATCTTTGGCAAAATGAAACCACAAGTTCCGCTTGCTGGGCGCTGCGTTTGTTTCTGTGGGCGCCGACATGCTTCTGCCTGCACCTTCGCCACAAATACCAGTGCCTGGAACTGCCAGGGATCTGATCATCAGTGCCATGACATGCGACTCAAGTCATTAATTGGGTCCCCGATCGCATTGAACGTGAAGGGACCTTTTTCGAGAGGAGATGGTGTTGACCGTATGCAGAGATGTGTAGACATTTACAAGCAATATAGTGCAGCATCTCCTCGTGCGAACCCGCTACCGCTGCCAGCTGCACGCTCCAACTGAGTGCAGAGAACGGAGAATCTTCGGAGGACCGGCGAATCTCCAGAGGACCTTGATAATAGCACCAAGCACACGTGCGTCTCTCCCATCGATCGAGACCGCAGCTTATCACTTTGTACGCGCAGTCGAAACAGGTGCCGAACTGTTTGTGTGTTTTGTTTGGGGCCAGCGTTTGGCTTTGCAGTCCGACTTGTGCTTGTAGCCTGCTTGCTTCTGGCCTTCTTGGTGGCCAGGTCACCACCCGACCCCCTCGCGGAGCGCAGGCCGCGACCTTTGGCAGGGCTCAGAGAATTCGAGGTTGCGACCTGGAACCCGATACAGTAAGAACCTGAGACCCCATGATCCCAAGAAACGAAGGCCCTAAACTCGGAAGACTGGGCCACCGAGCAAAGCCTACCCGAGCCCTGAACCCTAAACCCTAAACCTCAAACCGAAACCTCAACCCTGAGCAATAGATCCACCTCAGGTGGGCGAAGTTTGGGCCGGCGGCCGAGTCTTTGCAGTGGGTGACTGCAACTATGGCTGCTCGACTTTCAGATCGATTTGGGTTCATATGGTAACAACTCAAAGACTCGGAAATTGAGAGTGTTCCGAGTCTTATTAGGCTTGAAATTCGGGTTTTTGTCCGCGCAGGATGCAGGTCTTGCAGTTTGAGGCCTGGGCTTGTGGGATCCAGATCATGGGACTTTGTGCAGGGTGCACTCATAAGCAACATATACCAGCAGAGAAACTTCAATTAGGTCTAACCCCCACAACCCCCACATACAGCGTGCAGTGCTTGGGATTTTTGCAGCGTGCGGCTGCAGAGGGCAGGCGGGGCAGGGGGGGGTTCGGCGGAGGGCAGGCGTGGGGTTTGATGGTTTTTGATGAGAAAGGCTTCGCGTTTCGGGGCACTCTGAGGCCTTCAAGTCCATTGCCATGCTAAGAGGCCTTGGCGAGTCCTTTCCGTTCTTGGGAACCCCTAAACCCTAAACCCTCTCTACCTATATATATTTAGACCTTAATGGGGTCGTCGGGCTTTTTTGCGTTTTCGTGGTTCCTAAATCCTAAATCCTAAATCCTAAATCCTAAATCCTAAATCCTAGCTCTGGGCCCGTCACCCGGACCCTTGCCTCATGGCGCCCCCCCCCTGACTCTGGGCCGCCGGGACAGGTTGTCCCGGGGCCCCGTCCCGAAACCCCCCCGGGACGCCCGGGTCCTAAATCCTAAATCCTAGATCCTAAATCCTAAATCCTAATCTAATATGGGCTGTCCGGGGCCCCTCCGGGACGGGTTGTCCCGGGGCCCCCCGGGACAGGTTGTCCTGGCACGTTCTGGGTCCCTCCCGAAACAACTGTCCCGGGGCCCTTGCCGGGACGCCCCATCCCGGGAGCCCCCGGGACACCCGGCTTTTTAAAGCCTTTTGGGGCTTTTTCAAGCTATTCGGGGCTGTGGTGGTGCTTTGGGGTTAAAATGGAGGGGCGCCGAAACCGTCGACAAAAAACAACATTTTTCATTGCGGGAGCAGCAAATCCCGGGCCCCCTTTTTGGGGGGTTCTTGAAGCCTTTTTGGGCTTCTGAAAGCTATGTGGGGCTGTGGTGGTTTGGAGTAAAATGGAAGGGCCCCGAAACCGTCGATTTCAGTACTAAAAAATAATAGCACTTTTCATTGCGGGAGCAAGCAAAACCTGAGTTCCACTCTTTTTGGGGTGGATTTTGAGGCCTTTTGGGGCTTTTGAAGGATATCTGGGGCTTTTCGGATTTAGGATGTAGGGTTCAGGGGACTTAAGCAATAAGAATTGAAATGGTAGATAGGGTTGCCAAATGAAAGGGATTCTGGTGGGTGGGGTGATTCCAAACACCCTTAGTGAATGCTTGGATCAGAGATGCTGAACCCTAAGCCCTAAACCCTAAACCCTAAACCCTAAACCCTAAACGCAAAAAAAAACCCTAAACCCAAGCGGGTTAAAGGTTGAACGGATTTGGTCCTCATGTCAGGGCTTTTTTGCAAAGTGTTTTCGAAGGGGGCCATTGGCGCCAGAGCCTGGATCCCTATTCTGAGTCGCCTTTGCCACTCTGCTCCTAGACAGCTGGGGATTTAAGATAGACAGGCCATCTACTCTGCATCCCAGATTGTTTAATCAGAATAAGCAGAGTAATAAGAATCATGATAATAATTGTAAGAATATTGATAGTAATAGTGCCGAAACTCCAAAATCCCCTTCCCCGCCTACAAGGAAAACGTGCCGCAACTATAGCTGCTCATTGCCAAATAGCCCCCAATAGGTCTCGTCAGTATCTAGACAGGCTGGCAGCACCCCAAACCCGAATAGGAACAGCTGCGCGATTCGATGCTTCAACAGGGTTTAGGGTTTGTAGGGTGCAGGGTTTATAGGGCTCGGGGATGTTCAGGGTTTAGGGCTCAAGCCCCGCCACCCGAGGCTGCATCGGAAATCCACCTGACTGGATCATGCCGCCAGTGCCCAAGGTGGGAACCTCGGAAAGCTGAGCGGGTTTTGCGTGGAGGCTCCAAGGAACTGCAACAATCGGGGCTGGAGTCTGGAGGCCTTTCTGATGCGTACTCAGGGCTTTACTGTTGCATCTCGTGTTTGTGTCTTCTTTTTTCAAGCTCTTTGTACTGGACCGATGAAGGGGAGCCGTGGCTTCAAGGCGCTATTGCGAATGCCCTATAGGTGCCAAGTAGGGAAGCTGTAATCTAGTTGGGTTCTAGGGGTCCCTTAACAGCAAGGACCCTGCAGGGCCCTTCAAAGCTCCACCAAACCTCGCCGCTGCCCCAAAAAGGGACACCGAATTCATGTAGCCCTGGGTAGGGGGTCGTAACAGAATGGTATGCCCCCATTGCGGGTTCCTATGGCACATTGGGCTTCGCGGGCACGGAGCCCCTTGATAGTTTGGGGTCGAGTACCCAAAAAAGGAACATCGATCGGAAAGAGGACCACGAGTCAGAGAACCGGCCCCCTCCCAAAAACCCTTTATCTAATCGAGAGCTGCCCAGTTTGAGAAGAGCCTGTGTTGATCTGTGTTGTCTGATGAGCTGACGAGGTGTCCTTTCCGAGCGAGGAGCAAGCGAACCTTGGACAGAATGGCGCTACTACTTTGAATCCACAGGGCTGTTTGAGCAACACCAAAGGCTTGGCTTCAAGACGTTGAGGTTTAGCTTAGGAGTTGAAAGAGAAAGTTGGAAGTTGGAGTGTGCAGTTTGGTATCAGTTCAAATCATAATCGGAGACTTATGGACCCCAGGCAGGGAACGCACGATGGTATTGGTAGGCTGCAGGTCAAGCCACGCCAACAACATAACAGAAAGCCACGCAAGCAGGAATCACGCTTGCCGAAACGTTCGCCTCTTGGATGCTGAGAAGGCCACACAGTTGCAGTTGCAGTCATTTCGTGGCCTGAAGCACGGGCCCGTTTACGGGTTCTGGGCTTCGGTTTGAGGGCCATGGCTGGGAATTCTGTACGAAACTGGACCGTGTCTTGTCTGTCTCGTGAGGGTCGAGGACTACCGAAGTTGGGATTGTGCTACTGCAGGGCTCCGGTCGCTTGAGGCTCTTTAAGCCACTTGTCGGACACTTGCCGCACATGCTCAGTGCAGCTCGACTCTTAAGGTCCCAGGCATAGTTCTCAAGTTCTCAAGCATGAGACGCCATGGAAAGGGAGCCCGGATCTTGCCAGGCTCTCCGGGACACTTACTGGCCCTGGGGTGCGGGACTTTTCGCGACCAGCTTGGGCCCGCGCTGCTTGTGCCGCAGTTTGCTTTTTGAGGGTTCATTATGGAGTATAGGGTTTAGGGTGTTTAGGGTGTTTAGGGTTCTTGACCATTCCCGGCCGACTCCCCAAGCCCGGATGCAAAAAGGGTTTAGGGTTTATGGAGTATATAGAGATGGCATGGGAGGGCTTGGGAAGGCAAAGCATAAATCGCCACGTGTCCCAAGCCACATGGAGTTTCGCAAGTGTAGTTTTTTTTTTTTTTTTTGGGGGGGGGGGGGGGGGGGGGTTGAGCTCGGATGGCATGTCAAAGCGCAAATATGCATCGATGCAGACGAAATGGTCAAGGATTACTCGAAACGCGGCCATGGGCATCAGCACCGGCCTCTACAGTCTGCCCCCGTTGTTGGGAATTCTCTCTTCACCCGTCAAGGCAGCAAAACAGCACTCTGCAAAGTCCCCGCGGGTTGATCAACACTTTTGCATGCTCAGGCGACGCTTGCTTCGTGGTTGGCGCCTCCTACAAGAAGCCTAGCTGCGTGGTATATACCCAAATTACCTATATGCATCCTTGATATTGAACCTGGTTGTAAGGGAGAGCCCTCTCTGCCAAATACTGTACGGTTGCCAACGGTAGGCGCAAAGCCAAAGGAATGCAGC